GTATGTACTCCTATGTACTATATGAACTATAGATACTATATGTATGTACTCCTATGTACTATATGAACTATAGGTACTATATGTATGTACTCCTATGTACTATATGAACTATAGATACTATATGTATGTACTCCTATGTACTATATGAACTATAGGTACTATATGTATGTACTCCTATGTACTATATGAACTATAGATACTATATGTATGTACTCCTATGTACTATATGAACTATAGGTACTATATGTATGTACTCCTATGTACTGTATGTACTAACTGGATGTTTATGTGTAGGCTTCTATGCATTAGAGGGTGAAAAAGCTGGATTATGTTTGTTAGGGACTCTTTTTCCCCATTACCTGCGCTTCCACAACATTGAGTTTGCGGGTCTGCTCTGCTGTCTGAGTCAGTAGGTTGGTGCCCATCTCCAGCATGGTGGCAGTCTGGTTGTGAACAGCGTGGGCTTGGATCTGAACCAGCTCTGTTTTAATGTTCCCCTGGATGTAGTTCTCCAGCTGGTCCATGTGTACGGGAGACAGGATATTTGGGAATAAACATGCAGTACATCAATGCATTTTTTGCAACAGATTGGTCAGGGATTTATGGCTGTAGTTGCCATAATGCTTCATATGTGTAGATTTCTTAATTAACAGCTTCCTGTACAATCCTCACTTCACAGTCCTTCCTGCCCCCACAGCAGCTGTGAGACGTGATGCTCCTTAACTGGAATCACCATGTGGCAGCAATCACACACTTCCCAGTGGTTGATCCCCCTGTTCCCATCGGATTAAACCAACCAGTGACTGACAGAAGCCTCTGTGGGTTTTGATCCCATATTTCCACCGTGACCAACTTTACGTTTTGTATATAGATTGTATCATACAGTCTAATTATCACGATAGCTGACCAGTCACCCTTTAATTTAGTTGGTCCGACAGGAAAAATATAAAAACCAGTAATGACCGCATACTGATTTCAGTGCCTTAGGCTAAGAACCCAGTAAAACTTTACTTTAAAGCTTTCCTTACCAAGTGTTTTGACATGTAATGACAACCATCTGTCATTCATGTGTTACGTTTAGAGCCATTTTAAATCAGAAGGACAATAGTACATAAACTAAACATTATGATTTTTCATTTATATCATTGTGAGTTTATTAACAATGTCCTTGTACATTTTTCTGCATGGATCGTGACAGACCTACATCCAGAGTCTGTCTTCCTCCACCTTTCTCTAAAAGATTGTCAAGTGAACTATCACCGCAGATGACATCCAGGTATGAGAAATAATCACAATACAAATCACAATAAATTCAAAATTGCTACATCTGTGGCCAAAGACCCTTTGCCTGAAAGCGAGACACAGATTCCTCACTGCCTCTGTCCCTTCAGTCGTCTTCAGTGGGTGTATGTTTAACTTTTCGTTTTATTTTGGATCATTAGCATTTCCTCTGGAGCTCTCGTTTCAGCACATGCTGAATGCAAATAGCAGCACAAATATACAAGTTCATATAAACCCTTCTGGCCCAAGCTCAAAGCACTGAGCTATTTTTTATTTATTTACACACTTTTTTTTTTTTGAAAAGAAAGAAAAAAGTGGCATTTTTCATGTACCTCAGTTTTCAGCCTTTATACCCAGTTTAGGGATTTAAGCTGCTCTGTAATGTCAAATATCAGCAGGCAAATCACCTTTCTAGTTAAAAATTTACAATAGTGTAACTGTGCATTATTAATAATAACAGTAATTATTATTATTGCCATTAAATGCATATGTCTTGCTGCAACAACATTTTGTGTGTGAGCTGCGCGACGAGGCCACTTTGGCCAGCTGTGTCACTGCACCGTGGGATGTAATTCATGTGAGAATTTGAATGACAGACAGATGTACCTGTAAAACCCGGCAAAAACGTGGTCATAAACTACAGATCAGACAGCGGCGGGTGCTGACAGAATAAAACCAAACACAAAAAAGAGCAACTGTTTAGAAAAATATATTCTCTGAAGAAGTTGCACACCCTGGCCAGTTAATTGACCCTCACTTCCTGCCTTTGGATTAAAATTACACGGGACATGCCCATAATATGAGTTTGGGAACAGATTTACTTTCTAAGGGTCTGTTTCATTGCTGGTAACTTAAACCAGATGTCTCTGTCCTTCTGATCTTCCTACCTCGTACACCAGATTGCATAGACTTAGGGTTAGTTGCCAGTGAAAGGCAAATTGCCATGATGGAAGTGCATAATTGCTTTTTAGCATAAGTACTGAAAAAAAAACAGGCTGAAGAGCACAGCATACGTGTTGGCTGGGGGCCACAGGACATTTGGAGCTGTGCTTATCGTCATGTTCATGGATGCAATCCATCATTTCCAGGATGTCCCCTGTTGGGACACTTCAGTTTCTTAATTACCAATTTACTACAAATTATCCACAAAAAAATTGCACGTATGAAATAGGATCGATATACAGAAATGTTTCATACGCCAAGGGACGAGCAGGATTGTTTCGGGCTGCATTTGATGACACTGAAATATGACGTCAGGTGGCTTCAGATGGTTGTGACACTGGCTTCCATGGGGGTGTTGAGCTGACAACTGACATACAAATGGTTTTCTATCCTTGAGATACACTAGGATGACATTTTCGGGGTTCTGACCTAAAATGTGAGCAGCAGTTCTTGTCTCAATTTGCCAAGGACATAAAAAATAACACCTAGAATCCTGGAGTAAACTGAGAAACTCAAACACAGCACTTGTGCACAGATTTGAGTCCACTTATGATCAAAAGAGAAAACGCAAACACACACACACATACGCAGACACACACACACAGACACACACACACACACACACACACAACAGCGCACCATGTTGTTGGAATTACATATAAACAGACTGAAACATGCAGATGTTTTGTATATGAAACAGATATGGTTTACTCCTCAACACGTGGGTACATATTTAGCCCTGCGCAATTCTAAATAAATGTGATTCTTTGATTTTTTTTCCGAATACAAATAGCTACTACTATTGCAAACATTGCTGTACATCCCATGAATATACCTTGGTAGTACCAGCGCAAACAAAAACTGGACAAAGGACCATCACCTTCAGTCAACTGGGTCTAAAGGGTTCTAACAAAGCATGTGTTTTCTGCTCAAATCCAAATGAGCCACTCTTTTGCCAGAACAACATTGTCCTCTTGTTTGACACATAATTATTTTCTGAACAAAAAACTAACAGAGTGTAACCATGGCTGTCTTAGGCAATTTCCCACCATGATGCCATTTCGTACCCTGCATCTCTCCATCTTAATCCCTGATATGTCTCAGGCTGCCTAATTTACTGTATGCTAATCTCGCCACTTAAGAAATCCACAGTTTCACTCACTAGTAAACAAAATTACATCCTGCTCCATGTTTGCTCATAGCACCGCTCAACTCATTTTAGTAACTAAAATAGTTTTTATCTCCTCTCCTAACATATTACATGTCTTGAAATTGCCCTGCAGTTCTGCTGCTCAGGATGTGTTTGGTCTGATGTTAAACAGAGGATCTGAACGTGTCTGAACAGACGTGAATCTGTACCACCTATTTCTTAAAAGTAGCAAGACTGTGGGATTATCAGCCTCTCTCTCAAACACAAGCTATTTATGATCTTCAGCTTTTCAAAATGTGCATTATACACGTTGCATACGATAGATGTTTAGGTAAACATGTAAATATAGTGAATTTGTAATCAGGTCAAAGTCATAAGCTTCCAAATCCTTGTAACATGTTAAGTATAGTTGGCTGCCACACGTGACATCATAAATATATAGGCAATGTATGTTTCACTGTCTATATTGTAAATCCTTTATTTTCTGTAGTAAGGTGCTTTGTTGTGGATATGTTTTTAATGTTAGTGCATGGTTATATAGTATTGAAATAGATGGAATATACAATTGAAATATAGTGGTTTCTGTAAACAGAAGATTTAACTGTGGACCTTAATCATGCCACACTACAGATAGACAGTGGTATTTAGTTATTGGGTTATTGCAGCATATTTAAGACCCAGAGTGCACAAAGATCTTAACAGCATGTAAATCATCAAGGATTGTTCCCTTATCTACTTCAATGTTTGTTATGTTTTGTTCAATTTGTGTTCATTTTATGTCAAAGATTCTGTTCCCATCGCCGTGGTAACAGTCCTCACTCTTGGAATTCTGTTTCTTTTAAGCTGTTTAATTGGTCAGAATATACGGCCAATAATCCTTTACAATACCACATTTTCACATCACTTGCAGTTTTTGGTCTGAAATGAAACAAGAGGGTTCCCATCTTAAGGGAAGGCAATGATATACGGAAATCTCACCCATAGCAGTGAATTCGAAAAGCATGACCCCCCCTCCCCCCAAGTCAGTGTGTTGTGTTCTTTGGCACAAAGGCTTGGCTCCTGCCATCTTGCTCCAGTAAGTTCCCGCTGTTACCGACATGTTCATGCCATGGTCTCCAAATCATTCTTTCTAAATCGGGTAGCAAATAGGAAGTCGGCATGTATCCCTTCGCCTGCCCGAGTCTGTGCTTGGAAACACTGCGTGTAGATTATTCATCTGGAGAAAAACAGTATAGCATTACTGCAAGCATCAGTTACATGGTTGGGGATCTGTGCTCATGTCCAGAAGGTCGAGGGTTCAAATCCCACAGCTGCCAGAGTAATCATATCACTGTTGGACCTTTGAGTAAGGCCCATAACTCTAATTATTCCCACGACGCCAGCTGACCCTGATCCTCAGTGTACGTAGCTTTGGACATAGGTTTCTGCAAAATAAATGCTTAATGCATAATTACGTAGTTTGCGATGTAATTAGGGTTGACGCCCCATCTTGGGTTACTCCCTGTCTTGTGCCCATAGCTTCTAGGATAGGCTCCGAACCCCTGTGTAGGACAATCAGGTATATAAGATGGATGTAAAAGGGTTATATTAATGATTTACTCTTTGGTTTGTATTTTGTGATGTTTTACTTCCCAGCTTGATAACGTTTAATCCCTAAATTTATTCCTTGCATCATTTTTCTGCTTGGATTTCTCGTGACTGGGTGGGGGTATGAAGGGCGCACCATAACTCCCCCCCCCTGTTTGTCACCAAGTGCCCTGGGGACCCAGGCCTGGGCTATCAACATGGCCGCTGGGTCCTAAGCAGCGCATCTTTCCACTGTTTGTTGACTCTTTAAACTGCCCATCGACCATCGCGCCTGTATCCGGGGCTGTTCCTAGCCACTGACACGGAGTGGATGGAGACAGTGGGGGTCACAGACCACCCACCCACCACCCATACATCTGAATTTTATTTACTCCCCAGTCACCTCCCCCCCGATTTCCTCACCCTCTTGCCACCTTCTCAGCGTGACCTGCGGCTCACATCTATACACATGATGTTTATATCGCTGATTACTTGGCTTTTAACTTTCAATACTGTCTTGTGTCTGATGTATTTGCTCAGTTAGCCCATAGGTGCTGGAGCCCATTAAGAAAACAG